TTTGTGTGAAAAATGGAATCAAATGTTCCAAAACACTTGAAATGCTGAAAGTGTCATACGGTGAGTCTACTTTAAGCCAAAAAAATGTTTACAAGTGGTATAAACTCTTCCAAAAAGGCCGAGAAGACACCGACGACAAACCTCGTTCTGGACGCCCCAGCACATCAACGACTGATGAGAATGTTGAAGAAGTGAAGAAAATAGTGTTGGGAAATCGTCGAATTACCATTAGAGAAATTGCTGATGATATTGGCATCTCATTTGGTTCGTGCCAATCAATTTTGACGAGTGTTTTAGACATGAGACGTGTGTCAGCGAAGTTTGTTCCGAAATTGCTCAATTTCGACCAAAAGAAACGTCGCATGAGCATCGCCCTAGAGCTACTGAATGACGTCAACGATGATCCAGATTTACTCAACAGGGTTATAATAGGTGACGAAACATGGGTATACGGTTATGACGTCGAGACTAAGACTCAATCGTCCCAGTGGAGACATTCTGGATCACCAAGACCAAAAAAAGCACGCCAAGTTCGATCAAATGTAAAGGGTTTGCTTACAGTTTTCTTTGACTGCAGGGGCGTGGTGCATCATGAGTTCTTGCCACAGGGTAGAACAGTAAATAAAGAATATTACCTGCAAGTTATGCGCAATTTGCGCGAAGCAATCCGCCAGAAACGTTCGAATTTGTGGAAAAATAAAAATTGGCTTTTGCACCATGATAACGCCCCTGCTCACACATCGTTGCTTGTGCGCGAATTTTTGGCTAAAACCAACACAGTAACGATGCCACAGGCATCGTATTCCCCAGATCTGGCCCCCTGTGACTTCTTCTTGTTCCCAAAACTGAAGAGGCCCATGAAAGGACGGCGTTTTGCCACGATTGAGGAGATAAAGACGGCATCGAAGGATGAACTAAACAAGATCACAAAAAATGATTTTTTGAAATGCTTTGAGGATTGGAAAAAGCGTTGGCACAAGTGCATTATATCCGAGGGGGATTACTTTGAAGGAGATAAAATAAAAATTGATGAATAAATAAATATTTTTTGAGAAAAATAAAAATTCACCTTACTTTTTGATCACACCTCGTCCTTATTGATTATACGAGCAGGATTCTTTAAGTCTGAAAAAAAGAATCTTTCACTTTATAGTTCTGTTTGTTTGCCATGTCATAAACATACTCAAATCTGTTAAGCTTCAATTGAAATTCCCAGGTGCAAACACTCACGAACACGAGCAACTCGTAAATATGTCCGATCGCGACAATGTCTCAGATCAAAACAAGTGTCATATTATAGAAAATGTATAAATATTATGTGACAAAAGTGTATCCATTAGAGAAATGGTCTAGCAGAACGTGCGACTTTAAATGGTAGAAAGAGTGACATGACATGTTCAATAACCGAGATGACTGCCTATGTAGTGAACCAATCTTGATAACATACAATCTGTTGCAATAACCGAAAATTAATTATAAACCTTTAAAGTATTTTCAAATGATTAAAAAATCCAATTTATCAATTAGTAGTCTAAAGGCGTAACTCTAAGGGTTTCGAAATTATGTACCGACCGGCAGTAAGAAAACATATACGCAGATGGATTCTCATGAAAGTGGATAATAAAGGAAAACCTAGAAAGGCTGAGAATCGAATCATATGAATTCGCTAGTAAATAAGAGAAAACAATCTTGTCATCTAACAGCACGAGCATATTAGTTGAGAAAGTCAGAAAATGTTATGCGTGAATAAGAGACAAAAAGTGCGCAAACTATTACTAATGGCAAATGAAAATTGAGACTTTGAAAAACGTAAGCAAAAATAGATAATAAAAACAAAAGACCGAGGCCTTGAAAAATACACGCTGTAAGCTGTTTTTCAGATAGTTGACCTTTGACGAAACGCCTCAAGAAATACTCAAAAACGGTAGGGGAAAAAGCAACCAACAGATCGAAAATTTCCTCAATTATAACCAATAAACGATGTCGAAGAGCAATCTTCTTTTAGTTAATCTGACATGGCATATTACGTATATATATTCTCCCGAATGTACAAAGGCCCGTGTCCAAGCGTCGTATCACAAATTATTTTTAAAGGGGAAGGTAAGGGAGGCTCTTTCGCTCCTCTGAACGATGACGATGGGCCTCGTCACTAAATTAGCGTTTTGGGCTTCGGCTTGAGAGGAAAGGAATGTAAGGCGCACACAATAATCACTCGCGATAACCGTTAACAATATTTATTCTCGATATTTAACAATAAAGAGCGACCGCGCAAGTTCTCGCGTCGTTATCAACGCAGGCAGAAAATACTGCTGGACTGCTGGCAGGCTCGGATGTGGCTTCCACGATGCTAACGTCGTTGGAAGTCCTCTTTCCTTGCTGCTATTTGCTTGTCGTCCTCTGCTTCTTTTTCTGATATGTTCTCTTTAACGTGCGCACGCTCAGCCGTCAAACGATCCGTCTAACTCTGAATCTCGGCTCGAACTCTTTCTCCTAATCGTTCGCGCGTCGGCTCGAGCAACGCCGGCGGCTTCGCTCTTGCGAGCGGATCGCCGCGGGTCACTCACGCTCGTTTACTCTCTACTCGCGACGCATTATTCTCTCTCTCATCTTCTTGCCACAGCCGCTCTCGCTCCCAATTGGCTCCAAATGACGATGGCCGGCTCAGGTATTGGTCCTGAAATAAAGCGGTACGAGCATGGGTATCGGTTCGTAATTTCAAACGCTCGCCAGGGCAACAGCGAAGGAGCGAGGCTGCGAGAGAGAGAGAGAGAGAGAGAGAGAGCCAGACAGAGCCGGCTATTCTAGCCAGGACCCCGTCACAAGACTTAAAAGAAGCATTATACGCACTTTATATCAATCAATGTAACCTCTGAGTAATGAATTCTAATATACGAACTAAATGTTACAAGCTCAGTGCCAAATGAACAATAACCAAATTAATAATAGTCAATAGCATGAAAAACGAAAACAACATGAATAGCTTCATAATTCAATAGAAATTCTCGTCACACGATCATAAAATATAACTACCAACTACAAGAGTATTATGTAAAAGAAAACGAAGATTACATGGAAAATGATTGAAAGCAAGCAGAAACCTAATGTGATGATGTAGAACGATGGAGCACGCAAAAAGACAACCAGCAATTTAATAAGAATATATGATGATCTCGTTAGCAAAATAACGTGATAACAAGACACATAGATACTCATCCATCTGACGATAAAACGTTTTAAGTAAACGTAGACAATGACGAAGATAGGAAATTTATGGCAGTGAAAACATTAAACTAACAACTGTTTGTTTATTGCCAAAACTTGATCTACATCCTGTCACCAGATATTAATCTTAACACAATTGTATAAAATGCATTACTTGAAAGGCAGTGTATGATACCTACCGAACTACTCAGTATTGAGCGAAAAATCAGGATTATGTGGACATGAAGACAGAAGATTATATACAAATAAACACAGATCGAACGTGAGACACCTACTCCCACTGCTAAGTGGGAAAAAATCAACTATCCTTACCATGCAAAGCGTAGAAATTTATTATTTCCAATTGAAAAAAAGTAAAAATGAACATAATTTAATCTATGAAGCCGCTATCTCGAAATTTCTCGCAAATTTTTTTGTCTTCTCTCTCTAGTCAACAAACCTAATTACCTTAACACAAGTATACATTAAGTTACATATCATTTAAACCCTTCCATTATAAGCGAAAAATAAGCTCGACATAAACCTATGTAAAATATTCCGAGTGAAGTCTAATGAATAATTTCTAAACAATTCAAAAGTTTGTGACCGATGAAAAATTGTGCACCTAAATTAAAAACAAAAACAAATGATAACCCAACCTACCAAAATACGGATTAATGCACAGACAACACTTATAGCAACGCATCATATCACATCACGCAAATTGTCCATTAACAAATTATATACAAACAGTTATTCGAGGAATTAATTGTCGGCTACTCTTGTATATTATTGTATTAGAACAAAACTATATTTTTAGATATCTAAGCATATTCTTCTTGACTTTCATTTCTCTTCCACATAACAGAATGAAAACTATAACTTTCTCAACTACAGTATTCTAAGTCTAATTTAAGAGCTTCCAATAGAATCACAAAATTTAGCGATATTTACAGTAGCTGTAGAATTATTAGAAGAAGGAATATTACAGTTTAAAATCGGTACAAAAACGCTTATGGACACTTTGCGCAATACAGGGTGTGGTGTATCTAATATTTATTCTATCAAAACACATAGAATAAACAGCCGATCTTGTCAATGAAATAGTAGTAAAAAACGAATTTCCGGTAATCCAAGATCCACACTATTTACAGATATAACAATAATCTCTGTTTTTACAATAATATTTACGAATTACTATCTAGTATATCATTTACAGTCACAATTACTCAGAAAAAGAGATTATCAATTTTATGAGGCCATACCAGTTGCGCAAAAAACAACAATCATTTCGGATACATTTGCACATATTTGGCCAGAAAATCACCAAAATCTATACTCTATTAACGTTAGAAGCAATGAAAAAATATAGAAAGTTTGACAAAACTTATATCTGTAAAACCATGGAACCTATGCATACGATTAATGAATGATTGGTATATGTGATTAAGTATAGGGTACGAATAGAAAAATCTCGCTATTTACTTTGACACAGCGAATCGAGTGATTTATAGGCAGTGAAACAAAGACGAACAAAGAATCTCAATCCAGTCATTGCTCGATATTTTTTTTATTAATTACTTACTGAATTTATATTATCATGTAATCAATTACATATTATATCATTATATACATTATTAGTGTGGACAAGTTTATTCTTTTTAATCATTTTATATATATATTCATATATCATAAAATCATTATATATATATACATAACTATATACATAACTTTGTACAGAACTATGAATAATAATAAAAATAAAAATGCAATAAGTGAAATAAGTAATAACCACTTACCTGAAGATATATTTGTAAAGTAAATACCAGTAATAGAAAAAATGGCGAATGATGGTGTGATGAATGAGTTTATAACTGCTAAAAAAGCTGCTAATCCAGAACATACAAGAGATAAAGAAATAGAAAATAGTGTGACAAACCATAAGCTCCAGAACATCAGAGATTCATTCTTTTGAATCATGTCAGCAACTGAAAAGAACGATAAATAAATGGAAGTAACAAACAATATTCATCTCAATATCTATAGCAATTAATTTACAAGACTTGAATATAAATTCTGTGATACGTAAGTTTATTTAGATATAGTCGTACACTACTTTTCCAAGGCAAGAGTTCTAAAAATTATATTTATAGTGAGCTTGGAACGCAGCATTATGCCCTAGCTATGAAGATTCCACTAGGTAAGGAATTGTGCGTATACACAATAAGAGATGAACAGAAAGATATCTTGAGGAATTCATAAACTATCAGAAAAATACGAACAAAATTCGGCATTATTTTAAATTTGACGTATACAAAGTGGTGTCGTTACGAATAGTACAAACGCAGCTATCCTGCAATGATTCAGATAATGTACGAATTTCCAACAAGGCACTTGAAAAATATAAAAATAGTGTATTTTTTATACGAACATTGATATATATTTATGCAGTATTAAATTCTATTCAGCCATCACCGTTATAGGTGAGAAATAATTTAAGTTTATTAGCGTAATCTGCCATATCGTTCAGCAGCTTTTCATGCACGATCAATGCAGTCGATACCTTGTTTGATAGAAACAGCTGAAAGTCGTCGTTCACTTCAACTACGACTTTCACACTAAATCGTGTTTCAACTCATTTCAGTCTGGTAATCATATACTTGGATTCTATCTCCAATTCACGAATCTTCTTAGTAGGTTTGAATTGATGACAAGCTATATTATTCAGTTGCGCAAGATCCATTTGTAGAAAAAAGATATCTAAACTTAGTTAACATGAAACAAAAAAAAATATTCACCAAATCAAAATTACTTCGAGTAATATCAATTACGGAACATTTTTTTTAATTTTATCGACAAAACAAGCTTCCAGTAACTTTCTTTTCCTTGGAGCAAGTTGACTAAGAATCAAATTAGAAAACTGCTGCTGCTCACTACTTGTCGTTGCAGGTAATTTTGTCTTGATGAAAATGAGCTCTGTAGCCTCGAGTTTCAATTGATATAACCCGTTTCCCACTCCAGTAATTTTCGGCGGCTCGAGAGAAAACGCCATAAATCGAAAAGAATCGACGTAACCTAGATATATATCGGTATCTTCTACGTACTTAATAAAAGATATATATTTTTCCTTGGTTTGAGGAATGAGGCTCAGTCGACCAGATAATTCGTTCGCGATTTCTTTGATAAATACGAGTAGATGCGCATCGTATCCACTGAGAATATGAAAAAATACGGGTATGGTCATGCTTGATAAGCAATGTTACACGTGCTGTGAGCAGCTTCACGATACTTTCTAGTAAAGTAACAGTGATCGCTAACTTTTGTGTTTATTTTCTTGTTAAAAGGCTTATTACATATATGACATATCTTAGCATGAAGAAAGCTCTTGGAATGTTAAATTTTCTATAGGCTGTGGGCTTCTGTACAACTCATGCAGATACTTGGCCATATCATGATGATTGTGAACAAACCGCTTAGCTGGACCAACGTCATCGACGGTATTCTGTCTGTAGCTTTGATAAGATAAAAGAGAGTCATCATAGCTACTCTTGACAAAAAAACCAACAATGTACGGTTTGTGAAGTTGAGAAATCCGTTCATCGTTAGACACCGCTTCCAAGAGACTCTCAACATCAGCATATTCTACAAAAATGTACTGAGTACTCATTTTTAAAATTTTCAAATTGTAAAAATTTATCTTTCTTACTGGGAAGCACAATTTTACATATATACGAGGTCTATCCGGAAAGTATCGGGCCTACCTTTATATTTTCGTGCTAGCGTTATTCTTTATCATCTGGTGGGTGGCATCCTTCAGAGAAATACCCACTTGATTGAATAACATGGTTCCATCGATGTTTCCACTTTTCAAAACAGTCCTGGAACTCACTTTTAGGGATAGCCTTAAGTACACTCGTTGCATTGTTTTCAACCGTTGTTTTGTCATCGAATCGGTGTCCTTTGAGTGGTTTTTTTAATTTTGGAAACAGCCAAAAGTCACAAGGGGCTATGTCGGGACTGTATGGAGGTTGTCGAAGCAATGCGATATTGTGTTTGCTCAAAAACTGCTGCACAAGATTGGATAAATGCGCTGGCGCATTATCGTGATGGAGAAGCCAGTCATCACTTTCCCAAAAGTGCGGCCGTTTTCTTCTTACTGCATCACGCAAACGTTTTAAAATTTGAATGTAGTATTTTTTATTGATTGTCTAACCTATTGGTGCACATTTGGTCTTGGCGATTCAAAATGCTTTGGTAATTCAAGGTCTTCTTCTAGTTCTCGCACAGTTATACGACGATTTTGTTCGATTGCAAGTCGTATCCGCTCAATATTATCTGCGGTTTTTGTCGTCGAAGGTCGGCCGGAACGAGAATCACTATCGACAGAAGTGCGACCATCCTTGAACCGTTTATACCACTCTTTTATTCGTGTTTTGCTCATACACTCGCTTCCGAAGGCCCTTTGCATCATTTCAATAGTTTCCGAACTCGTTTTTCCGAGTTGAAAGCAAAATTTGATGCAAATTCGTCGATCTTGTTTTTCAGTCATTTTTGACAATATCAAAATCCGACGAACGCGAAAAAGGCAATGTAAACAAAGACACGCTGCGCATGAACTATACGTCCGGCAGGTGTGAGTAAGTAACCAATAGATTCGTGAGGCTTTACTGTTGACGTTTCTGTCCGGTAGAGATCGCTCGAACACTATGGCGCGAAGATATAAACGTAGGCCCGATACTTTCCGGACAGACCTCGTACAATTTTTACAATCGAACTCCTGTGTTTCAATCTTTGTTCAGTTCGAAAATATAGTAAGCAACGATTGCATATGCAGGACTTACATCTGCGAAATGACAACTGTCGATACATCAATCGAGATAAGTCTTTTATCCAAACATAGTGCAGTTTGTAAGATATACTAGGACGTTCCATTTGCTCTTCGGCATTAAATCGATATAATAATTTTCCACTAGAAATAGGTTCATATGCTTTTTTTTCTCATCAATTAAATGTTGCGACTAAACTTTGTAGGACCCATTTTTCAAATTGAAAAAGTACACGTTCACTGAAACGTCGTTTTGTTTTTCAAATTTCACGACTTCTTTCGAGTGTACAGGAAATGATAGATATTTGAAATTTATCTTAATGAGCAGTATATGCAGTGACACGACATGCATTCTTTGCGCCTGGATGTAACACCGAAAGGATAGCCCATTTGAAACATTCGTTGCCATTGTTTTGCACATTTACACAGACTCTCGTTCTTCTAATAGATTCGGACAATTCAACATAAGAACCAGCCCTCATAGGATTATACTTACTGATATTAAGTTACGGTTGAGTTTAATATAATACGAAGAGACCAGCCCGAGTCTTGCTTTTGAAATTCTTTGGTGCTCTTACTGATTGGTTCTGAAACGTTTCTAATGAGCCACTGGTCTGTCTATAGTTAGATATATCGGCATCTAGTACAGCATTCACTTTTAAAGAACTTTCTTTCTTGAAGGTCTCCTTAATTTGAGCATGAAATCATGGTTAGGCATGCCTCAAAAACGTATTTAAATCTAGATGTTTTAGATTGGTTATTACACCAGTCGTCATTCCGTCTTTGAAAGCACTATTGGTGTTATTCCAGCGAACTGTTGAGTCTTGAGCTGAATTGACAACAGCCGGTGTAGTAGTACTAGCCGGTTCTAGACCTTCACCAACTATATCCAAAATAATGAGAGTTTCGTATATCGATTGCTCACTATGCTTGGTCACAACAGGTTCAGCAATCGATGAAGTGACAATGGGGAGCTGTACTAACAGCCTACTCTTGTATTCGTTTAGCAGATGTAAAACAATTCTATTCATGCACATGGCTGCCTGCAGATTCTGTCTGCCAGTTACGATCAAGTTAGGCGAACGAGAAAGCTTATCAGTTTTGCGCAAAGCCAATGAACCCAGTGTCAACCATCTTTCGATATCTTCGACACTAGCATGGCCAGCCTTCGTCAGACCTTGCAAAAGCAACAAGGCTATGTTCTTGAAATACTGAGCCATTATGCTAATTACTTAACTGGGCAGATTTGACAAAGACATTACGTTATATTTACTACTCGTCAATGGTAATTGGTTGGCAAAAGTATGGAGAGGGTGAACGATTGTGATTGATTAAAAAATTATAGTGATTGTAAAAAAATGTTCTTTCAAGCAGAAGAAAATCAAATTGGTTAGAAAATATCTAGTTGGGAATCAATAAGTGCAAACCCAGCATAAAAAGGCATTCATTCGACTGTATTAACGCAGTCGTCGATTCCTCAGTTATAACGATGGATTTTGTTGTAGACGGACAGGGCTTCAAAACTTCCTTGAACGAATTCGTATTCAAGAAGATTGCTGTTAGTCCTCTGGAAGAAGATCCAACTCCATTGGTGCTTCTCTTAAAACCATCTTATCCATGGGAGTGGTTATTGAAGAAAAATCAATGCAAAAACCAGTGGTTAGCGAGAAATTTTCATGGTATTCCCTGGAAATCTGGTGATTTACGGTACGATTATATTGGAAAAATAATGAGTAAAATACTTTTCAGTGCAACCATTTTTGTCAAAGATTTTGAAAAAAAAAATGGTTGAGAAATTTGTTGACCAATGAACAGTAAGTTTCTTTTTGTCGCGTATCATCGTAAAAAAATTATATATATTAGGTGTACAAATAAGTTTCCGCGGTTTTTTATAAAAAATTAGGAATTTATTGCGAAGGAAAAGTACATTACGTTTTATTCAAAGTATTTTCCATCATTTGCCACTACTTTTCCCCATCTTTCTGGCAACATTCGGATACCCCGTCGAAAAAACTCTTTATCTTTTGACGCTATCCACAAATCTACCCAATTTTTGGTGTCTTCATATGATGTGAAGCGCTGCTCAGACAGACCATGTGCCATCGACCGGAACAGGTGATAATCAGAAGGGGCTAAGTCTGGTGAATACGGCGCGTGGGGTAA